ATTTCGCGCTGTAGGGGGGGGGGGGAGACACGCAGATCTGCCCTCACAGAGGAGGGAGAGCTTGTACCTAAAGGCGGGATGGTTCGGGGGCTCTGCAACTTACCTGGCTGCTTCTTGCTGCTCGTGGCCTGACTGAGGGCTGCTGGGAGCAGGGGGCGGGGGGCGGGGCTTGTTGCATGTGCCCGCCCGCTGGGCTCCTTACTGCTGGAGCTCCGCTCCTGTGCGCTCCTGCGGGAAATGACGCCTGCTCATGTTGTATTTTCTGCGTTCCAAATTTGGCAAAGTCAACCCAAAGGCCCGAGTGACTGCTCAGAAGAGGCAGTGGTGGCTTGGGATGGTGGTGGGGGGATGGGGGGTATCTTTCAGCTGTTTTTCCTCCGTCCCCCTCCCGATCGCTGCGCCGGCTCAAATCTCATCCCCCCTGCCCCGAATGCCTCGTGTCTTCCAGTGTTGGCAACGGGGCCTTCCCAGGCTCGGATCTCTATCGGATGGTCGAGCAGGTCAACAACCAGCTAAAAGACTCCATCGTGAAAGTCCTGGAAGAGGAGAGGTAACTGTTCTGTGGGTGAGGGGGCAAGGGGGGGCTTTCGCTCCCCTGAGGGGCTGGAGCCGAAGGTCAATGGGCAGCCCCGGATTAAAAGTACCGCCCTGGAGGCCAACGCCTCCCTCTAAGCCGTGGAATCTCGGGAGCAGGAATTCTACTTTGTGAGCTGCTGGCATGAAAGCTCTGAGCGAGCGGTTTGGCTGCTGCAGAAATGAGTCTGCTCCGGCACCCTCCTTCCTGAGCGGAGACAAAAAATGTGTGAGCCGGAGGCTGAGAAACTGTGAGCTGGCTCACACTAACTCATTTTAGGGTGAACGCTGCTTGCGACCCCGGCTCCTTCCAGTTCTCCTCCTCGCCAGACGAAAGACGTTTCTGGTGGCCAGAGGGGGAGGGAAGAAGGGGAAATGACCAAGGCTATAGGGGCTCGGAGGGCACCGTCAATGGGAGAGGGTCGGAACGGCACTCAGCCTCTCCCAGGTCACCCCAAAAGGAAACCTGCGCCACTACGCACAACTTTTCTGTCTCCCACTTACTCAGCAACTCTGCCCGGCTGAGAGTGCTTGGGACTGAGATCTCACCTCCCTCCCCATTTTGAAAATAAAACCTTTTACAACCCCCTGGGGATAAGGAATGACAGTGAGATCAGTTTAAGCAGCGAGTGTAAATTTGGTGGCGCCGAGAATCATAAGAATTGGAAGCAGTGTTCCCTCTAAGCTGGTTCAGTGTGAGCTAGCATGGACGGCTTCAAAAGGGAATTAGATAGGCATATGGAGCAGAGGTCCATCAGTGGCTCTTAGCCACAAGGTATAGATAAGGGCTCTGGGGCAAGTGATGCTCTGTCTTCTTGGTGCTTGGGAGGGCCAACAGTGAGAGGGCTTCTAGTGTCCTGGCCCCACTGGTGGACCTCCTGATGGCACCTGGTATTTCTGGCCACTGTGTGACACAGAGTGTTGGACTAGATGGGCCTTTAGCCTGATCCAACGTTGGCGTCTCTTATGTTCTTATGTTCTTTAGCCTCCGGCTCACACATTTTTGTCTTTGCTCAGGAAGGGGATGGCTCCAGAGCCAACTGATTTACGCAGTAGCTCACAACTTTAATGCCAGTAGCTCACAAAGTAGAATTTTTGCTCACAACACTCCACAGCTTAGAGGGAGCATTGGTTGGAAGGGGTCCGTAGCGGCCATCTAGCCCAACCCCCCCCCCTGCTCAACGCAGGTTCAGACTAGAGCATCCCTGACAAGTGTTTGTCCAGCCGCTGCTTCAAGACTGCCAGGGAGGGGGAGCTCACCACCTCCCTGGGCAGCTGATTCCACTGTGGCACAACTCCGACTGTAAAAAAGTCTTTCCTAAGATCCAGCTGGTATCTTCCTGCCCTTAATTTAAACCCATTCTTGCGAGTCCTCTCCTTTGGGACAGCCCTTCCAAGACTTAATTCGAGCTCCCCTTCTCTAAACTGAACGTTCCCAGGTCCCTCAGCCTTTCCTCGTAGGGCTTGATCTCCAGGCCCCTGATCGTCTTCGTCCCTCTCTTCTGCACCCTTTCCGTTCCGCTCACATGCCTTTTCGAGCCTCATCTCCGGCGGGAGAGGGTTGGTTAGCAGAGGGATGCTTTTCTCTGCTGCTGAAACCAAGCTAGCTACAAATAGCACCCACCAAAGGGAAGGACCATCAACAATTCACAACTATATATGATCAAAACTGTATATTACCTTCATTAATGTACAAAGATGGGTTAGTGGTCGTAAACCAACAGCATGTATAAGTCATTGTGGATTTTCCAGGCTGTCTGGCCGTGGTCTTGGCATTGTAGGACCTGACGTTTCACCAGCAGCGGTGACTGGCATCCTCAGAGGTATCACACAGAAAGATGGACAGTCACAACTGCTGGCGAAACGTCAGGTCCTGCAATGCCAAGACCACGGGCATACACGGCCATGCAGCCCGGAAAATCTACAACTAATGACCTCCAGCCGTGAAAGCTTTCGACAACATACAGAATGTGTAAGCACATATCCAACAGATTGCTCATAACGATGAAGCGTTATTTACAAAAAGAACGTGTTTAGAACCAACAGTAGGCTCCCCTGTAATTCCATACATAGATCGTGTCCATAGACCTCCAGACAGAAAGTAACTGCGGCAGAAGAGGCCCACTGTGGAAAGAACCCTAGGATTCCATTAAAGTTATTGAGCTGTGCCTATGTTGCTTTGGAAATCGAGTTCCCGTTTTACCAGCCGCCGCTGAAGATAATTGAAACGTCGTGATTTATACCTGGGAGAGACGTATGGCCAGTTTGGTGCAGTGGTTAAGTGCGAGGACTCTGATCTGGGAGAACCGGGTTTGATTCCCCGCTCCTCCACATGCAGCTGCTGGTGTGACTTTGGGTCAGTCACAAGTTCTCTCAGAGCCATTCTCTCAAGGGTAGTCCTTGAAAGAGCTCTCTCAGCCCCAACTACCTCACAGGGTGTCTGCCGTGGGAAGGGGAGGGGAAGGGAAAGGAGGTTGTCAGCCGCTCTGAGACTCCTTCGGGTAGTGAAAGGCGGGGTATAAATCCAATCTCCTCTTCTCTTCTTCTTGTTCTTTTCACAGTGGCGTCTTCTGCCCACTCTAACGAATGTAATATACAGTTTTGATCATATTTAGTTGCGAATTGTGGATGGTCTTCCCTTGGTGGGTGTTGCTTGTGCCTCTGCTTGTATGCAAAGGGTTCCCTGTTGTCTCTGGCGGGAACCAGGCCGGCTGGGAGGTATCAGAATCCATCCAGCAACGGCTGGAATCCGTTTCCCGGGTTTGCTGTTGGGTTGGGCTTGCTCTGCTGCTCCAGGTTTCTCGGTTGTCTGAAAAGGGGGGTGTCTTGTCCCCTCTTCTTCTCCTGCCAGCTCCATCAAGGGGTGGTTCAGCCCCTACCACCGCAAGCACCAGTTCGGCAACCCACGCAACATGGAGAGCTTCGGCAGTAAAGTCCTCAAGTGAGTGGAAAGCGGAAGAGGTTGGTGGGGTGAGGCATCAGATGTCAACAGGGTCTCTTTCACTCCATGCCGGCGAGGGATGAGTGTGTCTTTCGCATGGTGCGATCTGGGCTGGGGAATTGGGGAGGGGGTGGGTCTCTTGCAACTGGCAGGTAGAAAGGAATTGCGCCATCCTGGAAGTTGACATCCCTCCCCCCCAAATTACACGATTCCTGCGTGCTGCACCATGAGCTCCAAAAGGTAAGTTCCCTGTAAAGAATGGGGTGGTGGAAAGTGCGGTCAAGTCACAGCCAACTTATGGCAACCCCGTAGGATTTTCAAGGCAGGAGAGGAGCAGAGGTGGTTGGCCCTCGCCTGCCTCTGCGTAGCAACCCTGGACTTCCTCGGTGGTCTCCCATCTAAGTACTAACCAGGGCCGACCCTGTTTAGCTTCCAAAGTCCAATGAGGCTGGGCTTGCCTGGGCTATCCAGGTCAGGGCAGAGACAAACAGAGGTGGTTTGCCCTTGGCTGCCTCTGCATAGCAACCCTGGACTTCCATGGTGGTCCCCCATCCAAATACTGATCAGGGCCGCCCCTGCTTAGCTTCCGAGATCTGATGAGATTGGTCTAGTTTGGCCCATCCAGGTCACGGCACAGACCAACAGAGGTGTTTTGCCCTTGGCTGCCTCTGCGTAGCAACCCTGGACTTCTTCGGTGGTCTCCCATCCAAGTACCGACCAGGGCCGACCCTGCTTAGCTTCCGAGATCTGATGAGATTGGGCTAGCTTGGGCCATCCCGGTCAGCGCAATAAAAAATATAGACTGATTTCTGTCGAACCAGGAAGAGTGAAGACCTTCTGTTCCTTGCCGGCAGAGGCGAGATGAGGCAGGCAGTCACCGGAGGCAAGGCTCTCCCCTTGGGGCTCGCCTGGGCCCCAAATGTTTCTTTTTAACCAAGGTTTGGGGAGGGGGAATCTTGTTCTGCCCCCTGAGAATTTAAGACAGATTTGGAATGGGAGATGTTTCTTTGGACCCCACCACCAGCCTTCCCATAACGCCCCACGGGTCCTTCTCGGTTTGGGAATACCGTCTTTTAAAACCCACAAAAATGGATAATGAAAGCAGGGACGTTAATAGTGGCGTGACGGGCAACCGGATGACAGTCCCCCTGTGCCAAACGAAGAGGGCGTTTGCTG